CTGCCTTATCCGCAGGGTCCGCCTCAGCCCCGGGACAGGTACGAGCCGGCACTGGGAGGGCCGGGCCGGGCCACTCCGCAGGCTTGGAGGACCCGTTGGGCACTGGATCCCACCCCTGCGGGTCTCAGCAGCCAATCTAAGGGCACCGGGTGGTTAAAACCCCTCGTGGAATCTCCTTAATGCCTTAAATCCATTATGAGGCACGAAGAGTTGGTTTGGGGTCTGCTCATCGCCCTCCTGCCCTGATTTACCCTTCTCTTTTGAACTGTATGTACCCCGAAAAAAAACTTACTTTCTCTCTTCCAGGCACAGAGACGTTTCCCTAGAGTTCAGCCCCCCTTCCTTCATGCCTTACGGGAACGTGGGCACCCCCCTGAAAGTTTTTCTGGAGCTGATCCGGGCCTGCAGGCTGCCTCCCCGGATTATCAAGAAATTGCAGCTGGATTTTCCAAGGACAGGCTCATCCCGTAGGTATGGGAATGTGCCTTTTGAATACCAGGACACTGAGACAGTTATAGAAGAAGAAAGAGTTTACACTGCTACAGGGGATGAGATCACAGAGGAAGAGGGGCCTGTGGCAAGATCTGAGGTGACTAGCCCAGCCAGTGCTGAAGAAGATGAGGAGGAGCAGGAGAAGGAGAAAGAGGAGTTGCACTCGGATGACGTAAGTGGATTTTTCTAGCACCGTCCAAGGTTAGCTGTTGCAGCTGTGAAGCTGGGAGGGCTGATAGAACTGTTCAAGGGCTCATTTTGGATATTTTAATTGTATTGTATAAATCACTTGTTTAAAAATGGTGTTAAAATATGGTTGTTCACGTCTTGGTGCACTGAGCCCCTTGGCACATGAACAATGTGTGCATTAATGCCTCCAAAACTGCTTGTCCAAATCAAGCTGGTTGTAGGGGTTGAGCCCAAAGGGTTTGGTCTCGAGGAGCGAGCACAGGCAGAGGGAGCAGATCTCTGCCCTGCTGCATGGCAGATTGGCCCAGCTCTGCTGTTGCTTGTAAATGAGGCGACGAGATTCAGGAGCATGTTCATGTGCTAGAAATGGTTGACCTTGAATGCTCCTGTGATTGAAGTTAGTCATTCTGAGAAAAATGGCTTTCGTGGCAGACTCCTAGAAAACAGGGCAGGACAGGCTCTCCGGAGACTATCTCGCTCCCTCCACCTGACAGATGCCTGTCTAGCCTGTTCTCACAAACCTCTGTCATTACAGAGGCAGCACAATCCTGAGGCAAGCCATTCCCGTTCTTTACTATATCAGAATTAACTTAGATGCCAAATCTTTGCTGCAATTTTACCCCATTAGCTTCTCCTAGCAACAGTGGACACAGAGGAGGCTTTGTTCTCTCCTTTACAAACTTTTTATTCGGTCTTTTCTTCTCCAGACTAAACAGACTCCTCTAGCCGTTTCTCACAGGTTCTGTTTCCTGGATCTGTAGTCATTCTTTTGGCTGTTCCTTCGTTGGTTAATATCTTCCTTAGAGGGCTCTGCCCAGAACAGTAAAGCTGTCAGTCTGATCTGTGTCTGTGCCAGCGAGCTGCTTCTCTGGAACCGACACAATCTCTTTAGGGATCAACTTGAGTGGAATTAATTTGTTGCTAGTGCTGACTTTATGTACAACACACCTGCTCCTTAAATGGGCATCTTTGCGTTACAGATTGGGTACGCTGCTGAAAGCATGCCGTGAAGTGGGTGTGATGTGGTATTTTTCACCACTTCTGTCTGCTGACTCTGAAGATGGCATTAGTCAGGGGAATGAGGTCATCAGTGCCGGTCGTGTTAGTGCCTGAAAACAGCAGGCTGAGACGAGCTCTGTTGACAAAGCTGTTTCGTAGGGAAGGTGTTGCGATGGGCCGCAAGGGTCAGAGAAACAGGGAGGAGGCTGTGTGCTGTTGGTGTTGCCCACCTTTCACCGGTCTCTTTGCAGGACAATGATACTTGTGAGGAGTGGGAGCGACACGAAGCTCTGCACGAGGACGTGACCAAGCAGGACCGTGTGGAGGAGCGGCTCTTTGAAGAGGAGATTGAGCTGAAGTGGGAGAAAGGCGGCTCTGGCCTTGTCTTCTACACAGATGCTCAGTACTGGCAGGAGAAGAACGGAGGTAACATTGGTGTTTGTGTCGCTGAGCCACAAACTAAGCACCACGAACTGGGGGGCCCAGCCCTGCAGGTAAATCAGGTATAACCCCGTACGAGCATTCCAGATCAGCTACAGATACGGGCATCTGGCCACCACTTTTTAAACCTTCCCTTGATCACAAAACCTGCAGTGGTTCAATCCAGTCACCAGGAGACCACAGTGGTCCTAGTGGCAGCCTGTTGTGTAAGTGTTGTGGTTTGTGGGGTCTCTAATACCATTTCTTTCCTATATTGTTAGAGAAAATGGGGAGCTGGGCCAGCAGCAAACAGCTCTTCTGTGTCAGAATTCAACAACCATCACCAAAACTGGTGCTTTCCTTCTCTTGGCAGACTTTGATGAGCAGACTGCAGATGACTGGGATGTGGACATGAGCATCTACTATGACAAAGGTATCAGAGCTGAAACGGTCTGTCCCTGTCCCCCCCTGCCGGAAACCAGGGAGGTTGGGAAATTCTGACCCTGCAGAATTTCTGCAGTGGGGAACTCTGGTTCTGCTATCCTCTGAAAGCATCCAAGACATCAGTGTACTTGAAACAACGTTTTTCGTGTCTGGCAGTGAGAGTTGCCAAAAAGAACAGGTTCTGCCTCCTTGTTGCGTGGTGCTCTGGGGGAAATGACAGTAGTGAACAGCTTTCCTGAGCTGTGCTGCTCTGACTCTTGCTTCTTTCTCCCTAGATGGAGGTGATAAGGATGCTCGGGACTCGGTCCAGATGTGGCTGGAACAGCGACTCCGGGATGGCTTGGAGGATGGGTCAGTTTCAGGGCAGCAGATCGGCACCTTCGAGAGATACACCAAGGTGAGCTTTGGGAGGGGATGGAGCAGCAGAGAACAAGACTGCGGTGGGGATGCGGGTTAGGGGAAGGAGGGCTCTGGGAAGATGAGGATGAGCTTTGTCTAGCTCTGTGATGTTTTTTCCCCAGGGCTTTGGCAGGAAGGTGCTGGAGCAGCAGGGCTGGACAGAAGGGCTGGGGCTGGGGAGCAGCAACTCTGGAATGGCTGAAGCTCTGGACAACGAGGGTCAGAATCCCAGATGCAAGAGGGGGCTGGGGTAAGTACCCAACACTGCCCCGGCCAGCCTGTGTTCAGAGCATCTGCCCAGGCTCTCTGGGCTGATGCAGCCGCTAAGTCACTGTAAAAGCAGTGGAGGGTGAACCAGGACTGTAAGGGTGTCCCAGGGATCTGCCTTTCTCTGCGCAGCTGGTGGCAGGGCCTGCCACAGCGGCCCAGAGCTAAATATGCTGCTCTTCATCACCTTAGAGGAGCGTGTGTTGTTAGAGTAGGACTGGAACTATTTGCAGGTTCATGCAGCACACAAACACAGAGGGAGAGCTGTGCTTGAGGATTGAGGGTCACCCCTGCTAGGGTATTCTGGTGGGGAAGGCCCAAGTGACCTGAGCTGTACCTGTGCACCTCACCTCTCTTCTCTGCAGCGTTTCTGGAGGCTTGGTATGGTGGTGTGTTTTGCTGTGAGGGCTGGCTCTCCTCCTAGAGCAATCTCACAGCCAGGAATAGGACAAGAATCCTTATTGCGGTGTATTGGTCCACTTCTCCCCTGCAGCTTGTGAAGGAAATGAGCTGGGATGCACAGGGGTGTCTGACTGCCTCAGCAGCAGTTGGACTCAGTTGGAGCAAATGTTTCCTGTTTCACTCTAGGTACCACGGGGAAAAACTGCCAACATTCAGCAAGGTGAAAAAGCCCCGGCGGGACGCTCCCATCCTCATCTCGACCATCTACGATGGCCCTGACCCAAAAGACAGCGGTGACCAGCTGCTCAGGCGCCAGCCACCCACTGCCATGAAGTACAGGCAGGACATGGCATTCGTCCGGTCGTCACATGGTGCTCTGGAGAGCTTCAGTGCCCAGTCATGCTGAGCAGAGACTGTCACAGAGCCTTTGTACTGGTTCTGCTCCTGCTGAGCACAGGCTGGCTCCTGGTCTCAGGTTTGGAGCAGGGTGTTCATATATTTATTTTTGGAAGAAATATAGACTTGTAACAAAAATTGCCTTGGTGGGTTTTTTTCCCCCCCCCCTAATTGAACCATTCAAATGAGGGAAAATAGCACTGGTCCTGTTTGTTCAGTGGAAATGGGGAAGGGTGTTGCATGTCAGACTGGCTGTTTAGAGCCAATACTACTGCCTGGATTGACCAAGCCTGTGTGCTAGGTCAGCCTAAAAAAACAGAACTTATAGTTCATGGCTGCCTGAGACCAGGGAAGGACAAGTACAGGCAGGGCCAGCTGTGGCACGGTAACTGTCCTGCAGAAAGCTCGCTGCTGGCCCACAGCTCTGCGTTGCTTGGGCGTGACAATCCCACACTCCTGGGAGAAACTCATCGGGATGAAAGACTCATCCTGGCAGCCTCCAGAGGAATTCTGCGGGAGGCGTTTCCCTGCGGTCGGGCGTAGCGGGTGCTTCCTTCCATGGCTCTCCGATGTGCTCTGCCCCGTTTTCCTGACGCAGGCACTCTTCTGCAGGGGGAGAGCCTTTGTCCCAGTGACCCCGTACTGGAGGGTTAAATGTGAATCGGTTGAACGCTCTGTTGGCAGGCTCTGGCTTGGCCCTGTGCACCTTCCTTAAGGCTCTCGTTGTGTCGGGGGGATGCAGGGTGTAGTTTCCCCTTCTCTTGGAGAGAGAGAGAACTGGGGATGGGGTTGTGCTGGAGGGACAAGGGCCGTCGCCAGGACCCGAACCGGGGATCAAGATCACGATTTCGGGCTGGGGGTCCTGGAGTTCGAGTCCCGGC